GGGGGGAAGTGGGGTGGCGGGTTGGGGGAGAGGAGGGTTGTCACTTCGAAGGGTAAAAAGTATAACTATTGGGCCGGCCGAGTGGCTCAGTTGGTTAAGAGCTCGCTCAAGAGTTTGAGCTCTAAGCAACAGCGGTTCGATTTCCAGCCCAAGGTGAGCAGCTTATGAGCTGCCAACAGGTGGCAGGATGGCTCAGCTTAAAAAAAAAAAAGTATAACTATTGCACTGTGTTGTACAGCTGAAACTAATTTTTAAAAATGTGTATTTCACAATAAAAAAATAGTGAGGATTACCCAAAAAACAACTTCAAATAAAAACTTCAATGAACAACAAAAAAAGAGTGGGTTGCTAAGAAAAGAACAGAGGACGGGGGAAAAAGAGTTTCACTGAAGGTCTATTTTCACCAAATAGCAGAAAGGCTCATGGGAGGTCCTAACAGACCTTATGGGAAACACTTTGAGGGTCCCATCCTGCTGTCTTCCACATTTTTCCTGGGCATTTCGAGAACCTTTCCTTAGCTTTCTTGGGTGGCTTCAGCACTCAACTGGCACTAATAATCCCGTTATAATTTTAGATCTCCCATCGTGTCCACATGCTTTAAAATACAAAAATCACTTCTTCCTCTCATTCACACAGTAGAAGCTCATTGATTAAATTGTTCTAAACATTCATCTGAAATCAGTGAAAGTAGAAATTTCAAATTTTCTGGTACTCATAGTTAGAAAAGCAAGATACTCTTATCAATTATACTTTAAATCGGGGTGTTTTTTTTAAATAATAAAGAATAAAGCTGTGAAATAAGTCAGTCGGAGAAAGACAAATATCATATGATTTCACTTATATGTGTAATCTAAAAAACTGAATGGGCAGGGCCGGCCGAGTGGCGCGATGGTTAAGAACTGGCTTGGGATGCCAGAGGGTTGCTTGGGATGCCAGAGGGCTTCGGTTCGGATCCCACATATGAGGGCCAGTGACACTGCCCTCCACAGCTGAGATGCTGAACAACAGCTCAACCTGGAGCTGGGCTGCCGTGAGTTGCTGGCGACGGCATAGGCTACAGCTCCTGCTGCAGTGGGTTGCCATGGGCTACCGTGTGTAGCCAGCAGCCAGCGTGAGCGGCCGTCCAGAAGCCG